GCCGGTCACAGGTGCTGGCGAAACGTTAGGAAACAAAACTTCCAGAACACGGCCACACAGCCCGGAAGACCCACACCAGCCAAATACAGTATTTATCTAAATCAATGAGGTGTAATTTTAGTTTATACTTGTAGTACAGGCAGAAGTCTTTCCCATGACCCGCTACCCGGTCCTTTTAAGCAGAAATGTCAAAGATTGAATTCAGGATGCTCATTGTTCAAGGCATGACTTTGAGCTTTAAGCAGTGGTTTTCTTTGCTTTTCAAAGATGAATAACAAGCCGAGATAAGACAAAGGTAGGAAATCAGTTTTAGCAAAACAGTCATGTCCTAGAGATACATGCAAGGGTTTTACTCAAAGGGTAGGGCAGATAAGAGCCTAAGAGGAGGGGAAAACAAAAAATGCTCTAGAAAAATTAATAAAACACAGAGGCTAATTATTCTTTGATAGTTACATAATGGGTTTTATTTAAGGGAGGAAAGGATATCCTCACTGTTACATTAATTGTTAATTGTAAACTGGAAAGCCAATTTGGTGTAGTGGTCAAGGCATTAGGCTAGAAACTGGGAGACTATGAATTCTAGCAACTGGGTGACCTTGGGCCACTCACTCTCTCTCAGCCCTGGGTAGCAGGCAATGGCAAACATCTTCCAAAACCTTGCCAAGAAATCTGCAGGGACTTGTCCAGGCAGTCATCAGGAGTTGAAAACTGACTTGATGAGACCAAAAAAAAAGTAAACTGCTTCAGGATTTTTTAAATGAGAAGTGATAATATAAATGTTATAAATAACTGCATACATTTGTATTTAATAATATGAATCCACAGAATGTGACTCAACCACCAGCAAAATTGACATATTTAAAATAAAGATAACAGCAACTTTTTCTAAAATCACTAAAATGTTTTAAAACCTAGATAAATGCAATCCCTTAGATGTCAGATCTGTATGTTGTCACCAGTTAGATGTGAATCAATCACACCAGTCAGTGACTGCTTCTTATGAAGATGGGCTTCTTCACACAGGAATGAATCCAATATGTCTTTGCTTTGGCTTTCAGATCACTTTCTCTCTCTGTCGTGGACAACCATCAAAACTTTATCAAGATCAACAGATGTCCTTCAAACGCCAACACTGGCCTTTCAATGAAGCTTTTGGTACTGCTGCTAAATGACCCTGCAACATTGTCCAGTTGTCACCTATTATATGCATACAAATTGAAATTAATCAATGAAAAACTGTTGTATCCATGTGTATAGCTTCTGAACTGAGTTCTAAAAAGACTGCAGGAAATTTCAGGCTGTTACAGGAATGTGGGTATTACCAGCTGCTTAGCAGATGATGGTTCGTCGTGGGATAGTAGCATGGCTCCCTCGAATAGTAGTTCTGCTTGTGTTCCTCTGCTGTGCAGCATCTGTGTTCTACATGTTGACCTGCACTCCAAGAGGTAACCATCAGCAACTTGCATTCCTCAGAGTTAACAGCCCGACAGGAAAAGAAGAATATCAGGCAATCCTACAAGAAAGAGAACAGTATTATTGGGACCACATCAACAGTCTGAAGAGGCAGATTGCTGAGCTGAAGGATGAGCTTCAGGAAAAGAGTGAACAGTTGAAGAACATTCAGGGTTATGATACTGACTCACTGGGGGTTAGACTAGACCCAGGGAACTCTGAGAAGTCCCAGAAAGCCCTGTTGCAATTCCTCCAATCCCAGATTGACAAAGCAGAGATACATACTGGCATCAAGCTATCGACTGAGTATGCTGCACTGCCCTTTGAGAGCTTTACCCAACAAAAAGTGTATCAGCTGGAGATGGGACTTACACGTCATCCTGAGGAGAAGCCTGTGCGGAAGGACAAGAGGGATGAACTGGCACAAGCTATTGAATCAGGCCTGGAGATTTTAAATAGTCCAAAGAGTAACAGCAACACAAACCATCGAATATACTCCATCTCTGACTTCATAGAAGGTGTGTTTTCTGGGAAGTCACTTAGGAATGAATGACGAAAGTGTGCACAGGGATGCCTCAAATGCAGATAAGGGGCAGCATGTATTTCTGTCCTCAGAAGACTATTCATAATTTTCACTGAGCTTATCCCGTTGTCCCTTCATATATTTTGCTCAAGTGGTAAAAAGAAAAAGAAAAAAGCATCTAGAATTTATAAGCATTACACAATAGCAGAGGGCCATTCCACATATTATTTTAAACTAAACCTAATTTGCTGTTGGGCATATGGCAACTATGACTGCATATATAGGTATATTTCTTATATTATGAATCTGTCTAGCCATTAAGAGCTGTTCAACACCCCTGCTGTCAGAGACTATATTCATTGCTCCCAAGCTATGGAATGCGCTCCTGAAGGAGTTGCATTTGGCCTCTAGCCTCTCAATAGATTTTTAAATTATTATTTTAAATGTTTTTATTATATAAAAAAGGAAGAAAGGAAAGAAAGAGTGAACACAAAGGCTGTTAGATAATTTAAACAAAATTAGTGGTATCTAACATCAGCCCCCCTAGGTAGACCAGACCAGAAAATCAACTCCACAGAAAGACTAAAATTACTTTTATTGAGATTGTCTATAATAATAGAATGTTGTAATTCTGATTGTGTTGTACCTCCTCCTCCTTCTTAGAGTTCAGTGAATTAGGGAGGTGTCTGCCTGAGCGGCTTCCAAATGCCAGCTCGTTCTAGACTTTAAAAATGCTTCAGCCCTTTTTGCCTAGGGAACAGATCCCGCATTATCTCCATCAAGATCATTTCTCTTACTCTCTACATATTTATGTTATTCAGTTAAAGTATTTACATGTATTTCATCTTTCTTAAGAATAGAAATAAAAACGTAAGCTAGATGTACAATCTAGATGTCCTCAGAGAGGACTCTTAGTGGTAAAATGCTCTTCAAATATAAAAATAGAAGTGAGTTCTTTAGATTATTGCATTCAGAAGGAAAATGGGTCCTCCTTTCATCTTGTAGAAACATTTTCTGCAATCATAAAAATGCACAATATCTATTGTCCTCTTATTAGGTTTCAAACTGTTGTATGTATACCAAGATAAGATAAGCATCTATAAAAACCAAAATGATAAAAAATTCTGTAAAGAAACATTTTTTGCCAGGCTTTTAATTATTAATGTTAGTATTCCATTTATGGTTTATGTATTATGTAAGTTTAATTGTTTGCCATTTTCTAGTTTGGTCAAAAGTGGGATATGAATTTAATTGAAACAAATAAATAAATGGAATTACAATAAATCTCTATGGGTAAGACACCTGTTTGTTTCACTGAGATACTACATCTTTTAGGTGTATATTTTAAAATATTGATTTGTAAACTGAGAGATTATTCCTTAAATTCTAATTTTTGAAAACAGATTAAAATTTGCCTCCATCTTACTTCCTCTAAGGCAAGCAAGAACAGTCAGCATGTATACAGTATATCTTAGCCATAACAGCCCTTATAACAGACATTCTTTCATTAACTGCTGATGAAGAGATGATATTGGCATGCAATCAGCTTTCTCTCTAAATATCCCATTTTCTTATAAGTATCAAATATAAGAAAAGCTATCTGAAAAAAACTAATAAGAATTTTTGTTGGTGTTACAGTTCCAATAAGCCACTCAGAGCAGTGGATAATTTGTAGTAATAAAGAAATAATTTCCATATACCTTGAATTTCTTATCTTTCTAAGGAATTCACAAAACAATACAGTACATTATAAAATTATATATGCCTGCTGCTAAAATTACAGATATAAAATCATGAGAATTCTATATAAACATATTTTTACCTCTTTAGAAAATTCTGGCTAATGGTTGCCTTCCCTTTTCTAATAGGCATTCACCGGACTGAAAGAGATAAAGGCACCCTCTATGAATTGACATTCAAAGGAGACAAAGAATATGAATTCAAGCGCATTGTTCTGTTCAGACCGTTTGGCCCCATCATGAATGTTGCAAATGAAAACCTCAATATGGCCCACACCCTTATTAATGTCATAGTGCCACTGGCAAAAAGGGCCAGTAAGTTTCAACAATTTATGCACAATTTCAGGTTGGTATCATTGCCACTCTCCACTCTTATGGCAGATGAGAAGTTTAGAACAGTGAACCTAGGGTTTGTGTTTTTGAAGGAGATTTATTTTGTAATATTAGATTTAAAAAAGGAATATTAATTTGAAATATTTATATATGTAGTAGCTAAGAGTAGACAACAACTTGATGGTACATAATCAATCAATCAATCATTTCTCTTGTAGCAACCTAACATGTGGCAAACCACATTATGGGTTAACATTATATATGAACCTAGCCTTAGTGTGAAGCATGATTTCAAACATTATGACCCAGAATTATGTGTGAACTAGGCCATGGTTAAGTTAACCATGGCTTCAGATGATTTGTGAAAGTAGTAAGTAGAAAGTGAGACAGTAGAACTGATACTCATATCAAACCTGTGAGAATATCCAGGATATCTGGTGAATAAAGTTGCTCAGACACGTTCTGACTTGGACTCTAGCTAGGCAGGTCTGGCTGAGGTGGCTAGTGCCTGATTTTGTGATATGATCTGGGATGGGAGTTTGAACCAGTGACTTCTGAGAAAGTAGACAAGGTTCTCTGTGCTTCTCTGGACCTGGACTTCTCTTGGGTCATGAAAATAGCCAGGAAGGTGACCTAAGGTTGGGGCTGTGCTATGCTGTGCTGTGCTGTGCTGTGCTGTTGGCCTCCCAAGGCAATCCTTGGATCCAACAATTTTAGGTAATTATTGCCCTGTCTCCAACTTTTCTCTTTTTTTAGCAAAGGTTGTTGAGAAGGTGGTCAGTCTGCAGTTAATGAGAACCTTGGAGGAAGTAGATTATTAAGACCCGTTCTGGTCAGGTTTCAGGCAGGGATTTAGTACAGAGACAACACTAGTCGCGCTGGTAGATAACCTGTGGCAGAGCCAGGATGGAGGTAGTGCATCCATCCATGTGCTTCTTGTTCTCTCAGTGGCTTTTGATACTGTTAACCATAGTATTGTTCTGGGCTGGCTCTTGGTATTGGGATTAGGGAGCAACGTTCTATGGTGGTTCTCTTTCTTTCTCTAGGGCCAGTTTCAGTTGGTGTTGGTTGGGGTGGGAGAGATTGCTACCTGGGTCCCTTTTTTGCATGGTGCCACAGAGCTTAGGTCTCTCTCCCCTCCTATTCAACATCTACATAAAACTACTGGGTGAGGTCATTCACCAATTTGGGGTTCAGTATCATCAGTACTTTGATATTACCCAATTTTATCTGTTGACCTCAGGCTAGCCAGGTAAGACTATTGAGGTTCTGTCCCACTGCCTGGAGGCTGTGTGGATTTGGATAAGAAGGAACTGTATCTGAGGGGCTGTGGATGTTGAGGCCACCTAGATCTGAAGATATTCCATCTGTAACCTTGGACTGGATAGCACTTCCCCATTCAAGAATGGTGTGCATTCTTGGGGTTTTCCTGGAATCAAAGCATCTGTTCAATGAGCAGGTGCAAGCTGTAGCCAGGAAGGCCTTTGCACGGCTTCATCTGATGCACCAGATGTGTCCTTTCCTAGATTGGGAGGCCCTTCAGTCATTTATACCCTAGTCATTCCACAGCTCAACTATTGCAATGTGCTGTGCATGGGGCTGCCCTTGAAGACCACTCAGAAGGTTCAACTGGTCTAGAATGCAGCAGTGCTGGCAATGATGGGCATGCCTCAATATGCCCATGTGACATCTCTGCTTTTTGAATTGCACTGGTTGCCAGTTTGCTTCCAGGTACAATTCAAGGCACTGGTTTGAGCTATAAAGCCCTACATGACATGGGGCCTGGTTATTTCAGGGAACCACCTATCTCCTGTGGTGCTGGCCTGGCAGGTTCATTCCAACGTTCAATGGTGGTTCCAACAGAACCACCACAGAACATTGCTCCCTAATCCCAATTCCAAGATCCAGGTTCCTTTGATCAAGCAATGCCATCTGTCAAGACCCCAGAAGCCTGCTTTCTCTGTTGCAGAGTCTGCCCTCTGGAATGAGGCTCTCCCTGAGATGTGTGGCTCCCACGCTGATGGTATTCTAAAGGGGTTTGAAGACCTGAGTCTTCTCCCAGGCTTTGAACTAGGATGGTTGGTACCCCTCGTTGTATATTTGATATGTTGTGTTGACTGGAACCGCCATCTCTATATTGGTATGCTTTTATCTGGATTGTATATTTGTTATTCTGTGTTTATGCTCTGAGCCACCCAGAGTTAATTGGAGCCAGGCAGCTTTTAAGTGGAAATAAGAAATAAATAAATAAACCTTCAAGGAGAGACACTGTGCATTCCAAAGTGCTGTTAGCCAGTTCTCTGTCTGATTCACATAATGTCATTTGTTTGGTTTGGCTTAGCAGGTTATGTGAACTCAGCTCATTGTAATTTGGATACCATGATTTATGGCTTAGTACAATGTGCCAACCCAGTCAATTGTGTCTTATTTAACTAACAGTATTTAAGCAAACCATAGCTTAATACAATATGATGTGAAAATGGAGCAAATATATCTAATTATGTTTTGGAACTATCAGGGAGAACTAGGTGGGGCCTCTCAACATTTGGCTGCCACTATGCTGGCTTTCTCCAGTTGCTGTAGAATACTCCAAGAATCTAGTTTAACCATTTACATTGAGAAAGCTGCATGCATACGAATGCAGATTTGTGGGGGAAAGCTGAAACATCACAATCATTCACTTATCTGGTTGGTTCGAGTGCTGAACATACTGGGTCTGCAGCTACTGTGTGATCTGTACAGTCAGATCCACTGTGAGATTTTAAAAGCCCTGTAATATTTCATAAAATGTTTTGAAAAAATAGATGGTACCTCTTGCTTTAGAGGCTGAAAAATTCTGACCTAGAAATATCGTATTACAAAATTAAAGTTAAAACATCAATTTTTAGGTTGGACCTCTTCCTACGGAGAGCCAGTTTGGTGCAGTGGTTAAGGCATCAGGTTAGAAACCAGGAGGCTGAGTTTTGGCCCGCCTTCAGCACAGTTGGCTAATCTTGGGCCAGTCACTCTCTCTCAACCCTGTAAAGAAGGCAGTAGCAAACCACTTCTGAAATCTTGCCAAGAAAACTGCAGGGACTTGTCCAGGCAGTCACCAGGAGTCCACATGGACTTGAAGGCACGCATACACACACATGCACACACGCACACACACCTTCCTATAAAGTTGAAATTACCCAAACTGATGTTGGAATATTTTGGTGAGAACATGTGTTCCAGGTTCCTAGTGAACCATTTTGGGATCAGAACAGTCACCCTCAACATGTTTTACACACCTGCTCTATGGGTACAGATATGGATAGAGAGTAAACCAATGCAAGAAGTTAAGATGCAGTGTGAATATATAGGGAGTTACAAGTTAACATTGTGAGAAAATATGCTTATTTTCCTCCACTGATATCTGTTTCAGAGAGGTGGGTATGCAGCAAGATGGAAGAATTCACCTGACTGTAGTTTACTTTGGAAGTGAACAAATGAGTGAAGTCAAAGGAATCCTAGAAAACATATCCAAGTGAGTAAAATCTTTGTCTTAATGTCATTTTTATTTTAGAAACCAAAGGAAAATGAAAGTTGGATTGCCTGATTCTACTCTTCTCATTAGTGGTTAACATTTTCAAAAAGAGGTAGTAAGACTCAGGATATCTGGAAGGCCTGTGGTTGTTTGGCTGAAACCTTTGCCTTGTAATTCTAATCTTCTATGAATGGAAAGGTACCATTCAGCCATCTGCTTGTTGCTTAGAAGCATCACTTAAATAATATTGGAAATGCTACTGTATATGCAAAATTCCTCTCAAAATTGTTATTATTTGACAAATCATCATCATTCGGATAATTTGTCCTGCACTGACAACCAAGAGGTCTTAATTAGCTTTTTTCCCTCTAATATTAATTAGAGTCTGGGAGAAACCATATCCTTCCATCTATTTTCAGCGAAATAATTGTCTAGTTAATTTTTTTTAATCAAAAAGCATTATCTCTTTTCTCTTTGTCTGTATTATAGACCTTCATCACACCACAGATTATACAACAGACTTTTGAAGGAATTCTTAAGCTTATCTATCTTTTCCAGTAATAATGGAATAAATCTACACTAAGCCATTGTTAGATTAGATCTATTGCAATCAACAGGACCGAGCGAGCCTGTACTAAACTCAGTGCCACTGATTTCACCTGGTTGCCCTAAGAAGTCTGGATCCAACCCCGTATTTCTACAGCCAGTTGATTTGCATCTTATTTTCCTTGTAAAAATCAGTTGAATGCTGCTGGGGCATTTCAAGAAGAAACATTGGCAACTAACAGAGCCTGTTGCTTAACATAAATTAAAATGTAACATTAAAAACCAACTAATATATTATGGTAAAGCTTTTATGGGCTTGAGCCTAAGCCATCAGATGAATGAGGATTTTCTTTCCTGTATATAAGATTCTGTCATAATAAATGTGTTAATCACTAAGTCTCTGTTTTAATTAGGATAAAAAATGATGAACAAATGATAACTGTGGTGAAAACCAGATAAAACTTAAATATAACTTTTCCTTATAGATCAGCTAACTTCAGGAATTACACGTTTATCCAGCTGAATGAAGCATTCTCTAGAGGGAAAGGTCTGGATGTGGGTGCAAGATTTTGGAAAGGAAACAATGTTGTACTTTTTTTCTGTGACGTAGATATATATTTCACAACAGAATTCCTGAACACGTGTAGACTGAATACCCAACCAGGTACAGTTGTCCATGGTTTGATGGATAGAAATTCAGTTTGAGCCATAAACTGTTGTTCTTTATAACACTAAAGATACTTCATACATACATTCCTTCAGAGGTCTGTCAGCTCCCTCTAGAAAACTATAAGCATGACCTGAAAGCGAAGCTCTCTCCTGTGTACATTTCAGAAATTAGATGTTACATATAGCCATCATATGTAATGATCATGGAAAATGCTGTTCTCTATAAATTTGATAATCTCATGCAATGACAGGGGGGAAATCTTGTTCTGAGAGATTCAGTCACTGAAACAGTTAAAGGAAAACCTGGACCTGTTGATCCAGGTAAATGGCCAGAGACATCTGAAATCCATGAAAATCAAACTTGGAGATACAAGTTGGAAGGTTCCCCTCTCAGGTGGGCTTTTTTAGAAAAAGCAAACAGCTGACTCCATTTTTCCTTTTGTCTTTGGAGCAGTTCCCCAGGTTAAGTTAGAAAATAAGCCCCAACCCCATAAATCCATGCTGGAGATACAGCAAGCTAAGGACTAATGAAATCTAAATATGGATTAGAATTTTATTTTAAGGACTGTGATTTGAGCTGTTGGACTTTGTATGTATGTGCACATGGTAGATCTTATGCTGCAAGAGTAGTTGGGTGAAATCAGCCTCTTCAGAAGTCATTGTTGGTTTTTTCTTTCTTCCCCCCCTCCCCCCTTTCCCTTTTCAACTTCCTTCTAGTTTTTAACCTTAACAAATCAGTGAGAATTATTCTGGGAAAAATGAGCCAGCCTTTCCTATAGGAAGGATTGCCATTTGCCTCCTCCTGAGTAAACCAGGGCAGAAAGGGATTTTTCTGAGGAAAGTAGCTGTTAGGGAGGCAACTCATCCCAAGTAAAAGAAGTAGGGACCTTCTGGCGGGAGCCAATTGGGCTAATCCTTCACATCCTATGCATGTACATAATCATGTGACCTGTTACACCCCCTTTAAAAGTTCTCAGTCTTTTGCTGTGCAATTGCCCTGCTTCATTCACAGAATTTAACCTGGGGGGGGGCGATGGGTGCAATCCTCATTCACTTGTAATTCTACAATATTTACCCACTGCTTCTTCCTTTTCCGCAAAAAATGATTAGGAAGAAAAGGAAAGAGATAATAGCTGCATAATGCCTTTGATAGGTAGCTGTTCAAAGTTTTCTTATTAACCATTTCCTTTGCCCTCTTTAGCAGTTATTAAAAGTGGGTCAAGTCCACTCATGCATTGTAGAGAAGTGGGGATGAGGGTTCTAGCTCTGTCCCTTGTAGAGGTCTTCTGCACAATTTGCTAATCATAGGCAGGCAGTGCTTCAGCAATCCTATTGAAAGGACATGAATGGATAATGTCCTCCTCCACTTGCTCCTATCCCAGCCCAAAGGCAGCCCACAATCCTGTTTTCCTCTTCCTCTTGAAAAATGGTGTTTTCCAACTAGTGCCAGCACAAGTCCAAGCTTTTCTGCTGGACTTTAATTTGATCTAGGCAACATCTGCACTCCTGCTGATTGCTAGAGCAAGCTCCTGATGTACAACCCCCCCCTTTTTTTTGGTCGCTACCCTAAAGACTATCTTTAAGATGTCTGCATCATCTGAGGAGAGGAAGATGCTCATGTAAAGCCTGAAGCCTGCTATGCTTTGTGAGGCAGATCTCAAACATATATCTGGGGTCTTTCTATAACTCTGTTAAGTGATGCTCTGAAACACCAGTTCATTGTCTCCAGTCCACACATGCAACTAGTATATTAACGAATAAGCAATAGCTAGGAAAGAATTGTGAACCACTGAAACTTCTTTATCTACTCCACTAGTGGATTCCTGAAATACTGGACTATTGCTTTTTTTCTTTTCAACCCAAATGAAATTTATCAGTACTGCCAGTTTCTCTTTCTAACCCAAGTGACAGGAAGAACAGTAAAACTGGGAAGGGTGTAAGTGCCCCACCAGTTTACCAGTGAATATGCCAGATGGGAATGTGTTGAGAATGAGGGGGAGTCAACAGAGTGGGGCACATGTAAAGGTCTATAAGTGGAAACCACATGTCTTGAAAGACCCACCATGGAAAGGAAATCAATGGGTGCTTGCTTTCCTGGCACAGATGGGAAGAGAAAGGAAGCAGGGGAACTCACCAATTAGGATTGTGGTAACTGCCATCTAGACAGATCACTTTGCCAGCTTCATTGCCAGAGCTGAAGAACAGACTGAAATCTGGGAAGCAGTTTCTTAAGCCAGCTCCATTTCTTGCCAGCTCCAGCACAGAAGGCGAACAGCTTAAGGCTGCAATGTGGAAAGGCCCTTATGCTGTCTTTATTATATGAATATAAATAATTAACTTCTACAGTGGAGAGCTTTCTCTTTCCACGGAGACTGTCCATGTGATTGCAAATATGATGCTTAGTTTCCATGCCTGGAAGGTGCATGAAAGGGGAAGCTTAATGAACTGTGTCCCCCCTCTCCCTTCCTCAAATATGAGTTGAGCCAGATACCAGCTTCCTCCTGCTTCAGTTGCATGGTTTCGCTGGTGTGCTGTCCTGGGTCTTGTGATCTTGGAAGGCATTTTAAGATGTCAGATTTTGCTGCACTGGACTTACTAAAATGACCTCATCATTGGGGCTCTTTAATTGTAGAGGAGATAAATATGTGTTATTGAGAGCTAGTTTGGTGTAGAGCCATGTGCTATATACTGTAGAGCCATTTTGGTGTAGTGGTTAAGAGACCAGGCTAGAAACTGGGAAGCTGTGAGTCCTAGTCCCACCTTAGGCATGAAGCCAGCTGGGTGACTTTGGGCGAGTCATTCTCTTTCAGCCCTAAGAAACAGGCAATGGCAAACCACTTCTGAAATCTTGCCAAGAAAATTGCAGGGACTTGTCCAGGCAGTTGCCAGGAGTCAACACTGACGCAAAGACGCACACATAGAAATCATACTTTCACTGCTCTCTTCTTACTTACTCAAATATATTCAGAAATGAAGCAGTGGTGGCATTTAGACTGTTTCCTACTGAAGAATATAGCTCTTCTTACTACATCTACAGCTACTAATTACTCTGAAATCTACCTTGTTCAAAATATTCAAGAGCAGACCTAGAAGAAAATGACCATATTTTTTCAACTCTTATTTCTAGGAAAGAAAGTATTTTATCCTGTTCTTTTCAGCCAGTACAACCCAAGTCTAATATATGGACACCACGATTCCATTCCACCCTTAAAACAACAGCTGGTAGGTAATTGGTTGTTCAGCCAAATGCACAGCTGAAGTCCACACATCTTAAAGTTGTCAAGGTTGAGAAACACTGCTCTAAATCAATGAGCATCAGAGACTGGTTTATTTTTTCAGTGATGGCCATCCATTCCTGATGATTATGCAGAAGATCTCCCTTAATGGCAGCATTTAAAAAGGTCTTGGAAGTCTATTAATTACAAATGACTAATTGATATGTGCTTTATTGGCCATGCAACTGTTTTATTGATTTTTAAAATACTTGGCTGAACAGATTATGTATTGTTCTATTTTAAAATTGCATTGGAATACATTATTTACCTTTTATTTGCATAGCTTAGGTTTAACTCACTGTTTAAAAATTGAATAGTATAATATACTATTATTATTTTGAAACTGTAGAAAGGTAGGGTTTTTTCTTTTTTTCCTAAATTCTTTTTTTCTCTTGGCTTATTAGTTTTAGTGATAATAGTTTAAAGGAAATGAAATCTAGGAGTTTGATTTGCAGTTGTATTAATTTACTATATTACTTACATCAGTTTAAAATTTAATAATACAAATAAAAACATGTTTGCAATTTGTCACTTTGGATGGGCTAGGTCTAGAGAGGAGCTTTACACCAATATAAATAAATATATAATATTAGGTTATTTTTGAATAACCTAAAGCTTGATACTATTTCTTCACCACATTACATCTCAGATTTTAAAAAAGATATGCAATATACATCTTTAGGATATAAAAATTTCTGAGAATTGAAGTCTGGGAATGAACAATGGATCAGTTTGATGGCCTTGAGTTTAGCTCCAATGGATATTATTTCAGGGTTGTCAAATGAAACTCAATTCCTCAGACACAATTTCCCCCAAAAGCAATATGGGTATAATACGGAGGAGGTCTGTACTAATTGCCCGTGTAATTTTTAAGAAGTTAAAAAAGAAAGTACATTCTCATCCACTGGGACATCCAGATGAGAAAGTCTAGTCTTCCTTTCTATATTTCTATAGTGGCAACAATGTAGAAAAGGATGGCAGCAAACCACTGACATTTACTCATTACTATGCTAAAATCCAACATTTTCCCCTATTATTTCTCCAGGGGGGCAAAAAAAAAAAAGTCAAAAATAATGAGCAAGTCTTGTCTCTAGATAAGGCAATTGTCAGATTTTTATACATCTATACTGGCAGCAGAAAAGGTGAAACAACTTAAAGGAGGGGCCTCTCATTGATTAGGAGACCCACTGCAAATTTGCACTGAGCTAAAAATAAGGATTAGATCAAAGGAGGATTATTTAATTGCAGCTAAAATATATGCTTGTTTCTTTCAGGTAATAAAAAAAGAGACAGGGTTTTGGAGAGACTTTGGGTTTGGAATGACTTGTCAGTTCCGTTCTGATTATATCAATATTGGTAAGAAACTATGCTTGCTTAAATTTGCCAGATATCATAATACCATATGTCTTTTGTTTTGCTTGTTTCTGACACATTTGAGGCTGTTCCTTGATATGGAGAAGGTGTCCATAGCCACACCTGAATTAACTTATCCCCTAATTAGCATATTTAATATTTAAGCAAATCAGTCTATCCTCACTATCTATAATTATTGGTTGAATAAAACATCCATTGAAAAAAATCCATGATATCATTTCAGATGTAAACATTCCTGAAACAGAGGATTTCTAAGGAAATATTCTCCCAAACCCATTTCTGTCCCAATTTTTGTTGATGTAACTTGATGATTTTGTCATAACTTTAAAAATGTCCTAATAACTGTTTTTATTTAACTAATATTTATTTTCCAAATTCATAATAATTTCATAGAGGCTGTATGAAATTATTCATTCTGTTATTTATAAATTAGTAAAACTCTTACCTTGGAAATATCGAAAATAAGGTGGTCTGTGTTTACAAATTGATTCAGGGGTATTGTTTGTAAGTATCCTGTATCTCTCTGCTATAAAATATTGCACTTTCTGACCATAAACCTGGAAATAATTCATGTCTGATTTTATTGTATACTGACAAAATTGGTTTGGACTATAACGTTCCTCTAGCCTTTTTTTTAAAAAAAACAATACCTGATTCAGTTTTTCTACTGAGTTATTGCTGCTCCAAAGCAAACCTTCAGATATCCAACAGGATATTATTTTTTTCAGTATGGCAAAAAGCCAGTCCACTTTGACTACTTGTTCTATACAGTGAATTAAAAGCGATGTGTAGCTTTTTTTCCTCTGTCCCTAAAATGTGAGGGAATGTGAACTTCTGCCAAATATATATACATGGACTAAGAAAACAACAAAGATATATTTCAAAACAAAATAGTATTTTTAAGCCTCTTTTCCTCTTTACAGAAAGTAAAGAGAAAGATATGGGGGATGTTTGGGGGCTGATATAACATGATGCTTTTGTTAATACAGATAGTTCTCACTTACCGACAGCAATAGGGACCAGTAACTCAGTCGCTAAGCGGTGCGGTCGTTAAGTGGGATGTCACATGACTGCACCGACTTACGACATCATTTCTGGCTGTGGTTGTCAAGCAAATCGCAGTGGGTCATTAAGTGTGATGTCATGTGACTGTGACTTGCAACTTCCTGCTGGCTTTCCCATTGACTTTGCTTGTTGGAAGCTGGCTGAGAAGATCGCAAATGGCAGTTGTGGGACTGTGGGACAGTGCAACCGTCATAAATGCGAACTGATTGCCAAGCACCTAAATCTCAATCATGTGACCGTAGGGACGCTGTGACGGCTACAACATTGAGGACTGGTCATAAGTCTTGTTTTTCAGTGCCATCGTAACTTTGAATGGTCACTGAACAAGGGATTGATAAGCAAGGACTACCTGTACTTGGACAAGAAATCACTGGAATAATTGCAGCATGCAGAACACAGGCATCCATTTCTAAACTGTAATGGTGCCAAAATGGTGAAAAATACATTGTGATAGCACAACACAAGCTCTGCCCTTTCATACTTTATTGCAACAACACATGTAACTACGCAAGAGGTGGAGCTTGTGTTGTGACATTGCAATGCATGTTTCGTCAATGCTTACCTGCCCATGGATGCTGCATGCAGAATGACTTTGCCAAATCTGTAGTTCTTTTCCATTCAAGGCCTGCCTCATCTCTCTATTTATTATAAATATACCCACTCTTTCTTTTCTCATTAGGAGGGTTTGATCTTGGCATTAAAGGATGGGGAGGAGAAGATGTACATCTGTACCGTAAATACCTTCACAGCAACCTCATGGTGATCAGGACACCAGTCCGGGGTCTTTTCCACCTCTGGCATGAAAAACATTGCTTAGATGAGTTGACCCCAGAACAGTATAAGATGTGCATCCAGTCTAAAGCCATGAATGAAGCTTCTCATGACCAGCTAGGCTTGCTGGTTTTCCAACGGGAGATTGTGGCTCATCACCACAAACAAAAAGTAAACGGTAGGAACATATGAAGCCAAAATGGGTCTTTCACAAAGCAAAAAAGTCAAACTTAGAATGGTACTCTAAGAACAGATACTGGGGAGAGGAAGTTCCTGGACTTGCAGGGCTCTTCATAATGTTTTAGATGTTTTAGATACCCAGTATCATACAAATGAATGTGGTCTGGTAAGACAGACCTTCTCTTGGTTTCTCTTGCCTTTTCATCTCCAACCCTGTGGGCTCCCAATCTCCAGAAAAGTTTTGGGACTACACAGAGAGATGAAGAGAAAGATGGATATATTTTGCTGAAATATAACATGTGACCAGTGAAGTGACACCATTTATTTTGGGCAATTGCTTCATATTTGCTTTTCTAACTTTGGTTGATACATGATTGGATTGTACAAAGCATTGCATTTTATCAGGTGGGTAGCCAGGTGCTTTTGAACTGTTTTCACGAATGGGAATGTCTGTGGAGACTGAATACCAAGAAAGCTGTTCAAATAAGATTGGTGATAACAGACTGTATCAGTTCTAGCTATGCTCTGTATTTACCTCTGCATAACCACATCTGATCACACTTATATACCCAGTGCAGTGAGAAGTTGAATGGGCCATGTGGAGGGACATAATAAATATTTCTTTCTGGCCTGGGCCACTTACATGCTGAACTTGAAGCTGTTCAAAGAAAGTCAATCACTCCTACATTCCAGAAGCCATATTCTCAAGAAGTTACCACATTTCATAAGACCCAAATGAAATTACATATTAATCTCTTAATCCATCTTAAACCTGATAGAACAAAATACAATCAGTTTCTATTTTACGTTAATGATTAAAAAGATGGATTTGGGGGAGGTTGAATGCTAAATACCTAAAGTTTAAAAGGGGCAAAGACATGACATAGTTCTACATATGGAATCTAGAACTATAAAATATAATCCCCCAGTTAAAAAATAAAAAAGCTGTGTTTGTTTAAACTGTGAATTGTCATATAGTTGCTAGCTCTTGGATGCTATGAAGTATTAATTTATTTGACCTCAGTCATGCACTTTTGGTTTTGTATAACTTTGCTTCTATTTAAATGTAAAAACTTGCTGAAAGTAGCACATTGTAATACAGAAGATAGACACTTTACAAATGGATTTCACTTTATCAAATACATTTACAACTAAGTTATGCCTCTCATTTAACAGCTGTAGTGAAAGTAATTGGAATATGAACCGCATATATCTAAAGAGAGATATTTAGCTATATTTCTTGGACAAGAATTCATAAGCATTGGAAATTGACAGAGCTATTTCAGCCTAATGAATAAGAAATACATGAAAGCTCAGATGAAGGGGCCATCTCTTCACTTGTTTGTAACTCCATCCATTTTTCTGCATAACTGTTGCAGTCATTCCCTGACCTCAGTCCTTCACTATGATTTTATACAATGCTTCAGATAGAACTATTGTTTATAAGATAAATGCAGGCTGTTGTAAAGCAAATGCAAGGAAATTTTCCCCTGGGGCACTTAGAAGAGAGCGCCAGTGGGAAGCGGCTGAGTGTTCACCTGCCCTAAGGGGAGAGTATACAGCTTTGTTGCACTCCTTTGCCAACCTGGAGCCAGTCTTTTTCGCCATGTTCTGTATATATTGTTTCTCATGAGGACAGTCAGATCTTCTGGGGTTCCCGTTTTTCTGAGCACATTCCACAACTTGATGTGGAATTGAAGGCCTTTCTATAATTGATGAAGCACATAGTGGTGCCTTTTTGGTATTTTTTGGCTTTCTCAACTATCCAGCGTGCATCAGCAATAATGTCTTGTGTTCCTTGGCCTTTTCTAAAGCCAGCTTGAACATCTGGCA